TTATCACAATACACTTTTATAGGCTGAACTATGGGAATCTTCAAGTCTTCAAATAATCTTTTCAACCAGAATGCCTTGCAGATTCCATGGGCTAGAGACCTGAATTCTGCATCTGCACTACTTTGTGCCTCAACATTTTGTTTTTTACTTCTCCATGTAATGAGATTTCCTCCAACGATTATATAGTAGCCAGAGGTGGATCGCCAATTAATAGTACTATCACCCCCCTGTGAATACTTATATCTGGAAGTTGTCACTTTTTTTGGACATTAGCCTTTTCCCGGCTTCCTTTTAGATATTTTAAAATCCTAAAGGCTGCCTCAAAATGTTCTCGTCCAGGTGAGTGCATATATCGGCTAATCAGGCTTATTGCAAATGCAATATCTGGATGTGTATGTGATAAATAGATCAACTTTCTCACAAGCCTTTGGAACTTCTCCTTATTAGTCACTTCTTCGGGTAGGATAAAGTTTATGATTAGGATCTATGGGAGTATCGACAGGTTTAGAACCTAGGAGATCGGTCTCACTGAGAAGATCAAGGATATACTTCCGTTGGTTAGAAAGATACCCTTCTTGGACCTGGCGAACTCCATACCCAGGAAGTATTCTAGCGGTCCTAGATCTTTTACCTCAAAATCTTGGGCTAACCCCTTTTTCAAATTGGTTAGCCCTTTGTAATCATCACCAGTCAAGATTATGTCATCCACATAGACGTAAGATAGCGATTTTACCTTTTTCTGATCGCTTATAAAACAATGTATGATCAGCTTGGCTTTGATGATAGCCATAACTTTTCACCGCCTTTTCAAATCTTTCAAACTAGGCCCTTGGAGACTATTTAAGGCCATACATGGATTTTGTTTAGGCTGCATACTTTGCCTTGTCCTAACAACTTTTCGAACCCTGGAGGTAGGCTCATAAACACCTCTTCTTACAAATCGCCATTCAAGAATGCATTCTTGATATCTAACTATTGTAGGGGCCAATCACAAGTTGCCGCTAGAGATATCAACACCTGCATGGTATTGAGTTTTGCAACTGGAGAAAGTTTCTTAATAGTCAATACTATATGCTTGGGTGAAACCTTTAGCGACTAATCTTGACTTGTATCCTTCAATACTCCTGTCTCCCTTGCATTTCACATTAAACACCCATTTGCACCCACTTGATTTTTGGGTAGATCAGTAACTTCCCACGTGCCATTTTTCTTTAGATTTTTGGGTCATTCAGTGCTTCTTGTATGTTTCTTGGAACAAACTGGTTAGATAACTTTGTAATAAAAGAACTGTGTTTCTTAGAAAGATTATCATAAGAGAGATACCTGGATATAGTATGAGAAGTACAGGAATGCTTTGCTCTTCTGATAGCTCTTGGAATATTCAAGTCACTAGGTTCCGTATTAGGTACCGAAGGGGAGACAAAATTTGACGTACGAACAGGTTGGGTTTTATGAGTACCTTGAGTAGTTTCAGATTCTGATCTTGGAGTAGATGATTGGACAAGTGCTAACGGTACCGTGTTTTTCTTGCCTTTTGATGACCCTTCTTTCTTGAGTACTTGTGGAGCTCTTTATCTTGTTCAATTGAAATATCAGTTGGTGTGTCTCCTCCTGTCGAGTATGTCTCCTCCTGTTAGGGATTCATGAATGTTAGCAGAACTGGTTCAGGATCACTTATGTCTTCCGAACTAGTGGTTCCTTCTTTGTTTAAAGGTTCATTTGTAGGACTGGTAGTTAGTGTAGAAGTAGGATCAGAAAAGTCAATAGTTTTAGGTAAAGGAATATTGTCCCAAAAAACACTTCTTCTAGGTTTTCCCCCTGAAGAGGATTTTTTGAATGTAGGGTTGGTTTTCAAGAAAGGTAACATAACATTCATAGAGACTGTTGTAAATTGTAAAATGGATGTAGGGTTGTTTTTTAGAGCATGATAAATTTATTGTTATTTATGCATTAGTCATGTACTGTTAGACTAAGTCAACTAGTCTAGTTTATATTATTAATATTGTCTAGGGTCCAAAGTGTAATTAGTTTTACCTATATAAGGTGTATCAGATTATTATTATTTTTCAATCAATACAATCAATATCAAGTTTAATATG